CTTTGAAAAAAAAAAGTATTAATAAAAAAAATTATAAATTACAGAATTTCGATTCTCTCTGTGAAATATCGAGTAAAATCAATGCGTAACGGCACATAAGCACTTGAAACCGATGCACGTTGTAAAAAGTACTAAAACAAGCATTACCTTTTCTGCAGATTGTGCCGTCCCAAAGAAAATGGGAATGAAGGCGAGCCACACAATGCAGGTGGTGTACATGGTGAAGCCGATGGGTTTGGCTTCGTTGAAGTTCTCCGGAACGCCTCGCGTCTTGATGGCGTAAACCGTACATGTTACCATCAGCAAGATGCTGTATCCTAGAGAGCAAATGATTTGAAGGTCCGTAATGTCACACTTGAGAACCCCTCGGGCCTTGTCGGGGTTTATGGTCTTCTGCTCGTCGTAATCGATTATGGTGTTCGGAGGATCCACTCCAAACCATATGAGGACCCCTAAGAGCTGGATGGAGATGAGGCTGGAGGTGATGGCTAACTGAGACGTCGGGCTGATCAGTTTAGGTGGAGAAACCGACTTCTTCCCTTCCTCGAATATGCGGTAAATTCGATTGGTCTTAGTGAGGAGCGCGGCGTAGCTAATACACATTCCTAACCCAAGGAAGATTCGTCTGAAGGAGCAAACGGCAATGTCCGGAGTGGCGATCATTACAAACGTGATGATATAACACAAGAATATCCCTGTCAGCAGAACGTAGCTGAGCTCCCTCCCAGACGCTCGTACGATCGGGGTGTCATTGTAGCGGATGAACGTCGCCATAACAAAGATGGTGGCAATGATGCCGAGCATAGCCAGGAAGACGGGAATGACGGCCCAGGGTGAATGCCACTCCAGCTTGACGATCGGGATGGGCTGGCATCCTGTCCGGTTGCCGTTCGGACGCATGTTGTAAGTGCAGAGTTTGCAGGACGTCTCGTCATACTGGTACTGGTAGCCGTCGCAGGGCTCGCAGTGCCAGCAGCACGGCATGCCTTTCACCATCTTCTTGCGTTGACCCGTCTTACAGGGCAGACTGCAGACTGAGCTGGGTATTTCCATCTCACCGTTGGCCCACTGCATCTCATCGATCTACAAAGAAATGGACACAAAACAGCATTTGGGTTAATGACAATGCAATTTTTTTTTCTCTCTCTACTATATTTTTTACAAAAATACATAACAAATAAAATTAATTGATTATATGCACTGGCTTAAATACACCACTCTAATAATGAGTTTGACATTTCTGAATTTAAATTTAATTTGATGTTTTTTGGTGGGTATGGGTGAAAAAATGTCAGTAGAATAGATCTGTTCTTATAGGATAATGAAAGAAAAAAATAAAATGTAATTCTTGAAAATAAATCCTTGTAGAGGATTAACAATTAAAATAAAAGAATAATGAAAATATATTTTTTTAAATATTTGAACAAAACTGTTTCACTGCTTATATATATATATATATATATATATATATGAGAAATATCA